AGGAGCTTCAGGTCCTTCCCCTGGAAAACGGGGAGAACACCAACCTACCTCGGGGACGGCTGTGCAAATGGGGGACGTGCCTGACACAGACGACAGATGAGGAAGTCACAGATAGCCGCATCGTCTGCCTGTAAGATGTCCTTTCAAACATGACCAACGATCGTCAATTCTGTTTAAAAAGGTAACTCTCCATTTGTATTTGAAATAAACCCACTGACAACTATTTCCAAGGTCTTCTGAGTTCGAGTACCACCGAAGTGTAAAACACCTAACACTTTTCACTATGTTTGGGTGACGCTGACATAAAAGCGGCCATCGGACAGTGAATACTGGAGCGGCACGGGGTACATTCACGACGTTGTGGGACCCTCTCTGTCAAGCTCAAACACCCTTCCCTCACCACAGACGGACGTGTCACGCCTACTAAGCAGTGCCCCCCTCCCCCCCACGACCTGACTTGGGCTCCAGAACTCTCCGTTCTCATACTTGGCGTATAAGGCTTCACACAGTCCATGACCTTTTATGTCTGATTTCTCTCACACGTACAGTATTTTCAAGGTTCACCCAAGTCGTATCAGTATTCATTAACTGTTACGGTTGAATAACAATCCAATATAAGAAAACAGTACAATTTGTGTATCTGTTCACCCGCCGATGGACGCCTGGGCTGTTCTCACTCGCTGGCGATTATAAATAAAGTGCTGCATGAACGCGGCTGTGTGTGTACCTGCTTGCGTGCCTGTCTTCAGCTCTACAGGCTTGAGAACTTTCTCTTTCCCTTGTGAATGGAGGCTTAAGGGGCACACAATGCTTGGTTGACAGTTTTTTCTTTTGTCATTTTAAAAATATCACCAACCTCCTGTCCTCCAGGGCTCTTACTCTCCAGCCCTTGCGTGTGATAAGCTGCTTCTCCCTTGTTGCTTCCAGAACATTCTCTTCCTTCTCTTGGTCCTTGGGTTTGAACCGTTTGGTTACAACATGTCTTGGTGTGGATTCTCTGTGTTTGTCGACAACTTCTAGGGATTCACGAACTCCCTGAACATGTAGCTTCCTGTCTTTTTTCAAACTTGGGAAGTCTGAAATAATAAGGCCATTATTCCTTTGAACATTCTCTCCCCCACTCCAAAACGCCCACTGCGTGCACCGTAGCACACTGGCTGCTGCCTCCAAGTCTCGTGGCACCTACTTTTCTTCGTTCTTCTTTCCTCTTCTCAGAACAGACCGTCTCACGTGATCTAAGGTTCAAGGTCACAGATTCTTTCTACGGCCTGCTCAAACCCTCGAGTGAGTTTTTCTTGTCATCTACTTTATTTTGGCACCAGAATTTCTCTTGGCTTCATTCTTAGAGTGTCTACACCTTTACTGATCTTGTTTGCTGACACAGTGCGCTGCTCTGGTGTCTCGACATTTTTCAGTTGCCTCCTTCAGCTCTGTGAGTACGGTTATGGCAAGTGAGTCAGACTTTTGTCCAGGAAGTCCAGTATCTGGGCTTCCAGGGACGGTTTCTGTCCCTTCCTTCTGTGACTGGGCCACGTGGTTTCTCTGCATGCTTCGTAATTTCCCGTGGAAACCTGCACATGTGGACCACTGCCATCTGGTAACTTGGGAAGTCAGTTACGTCCCCTTCTTCTGGGTTTGCCTTGCTGCTCAGTATATGCTGTCGCCATGCACACTTTGTAAAGTGTGTATTCTTTGTCAGGTGTGGTCTGCGAAGTCTTTCAGTCAGTGCTCTGAAAGGTCTCCTTGCACAGGGAGGGGGTGAGACTAACAAAGAAAAGGAGGGATGATGGCGAGAAGGAGAGAAATGAGAGGGGGAGGAAGGGTGAAGGACAGGAGACAGAGGGAGCGAGGAGGGAGAGACCAGCCTGTCGCAGACTTGGCAGGCTAGCTCTGTCCCAGGGGCTCCGGCACGCAGTCTACAACTCTGCCCAAGACCTCGCTCTGCCTGCACTGAGCCTAGAGACTGGCCAGAGGCAAAACGCTCTCTCGGGGTCTTTTCTGAGCATGATCCAGCGCCGGCCGTGGAGGTGGCTTTCACATCCCCCAGTCAACACAGGCACTTCTGAACACCTTAACTTTCCAAAGAATCCTGTCTCCAGCTCCTTCCACTGGGCACTTGACACTCTCTTCCGTGTGTCAACTATCACTTATCACCCCCAGCCACTGCTGCTGACCCAGGCTCCAGAAATGCTTACTTGTTTTTGGCTCTTCTGCCCTGAGTGACATCCACGTCAGAGGAAAGAAAGACAACTATCTCAAGTCAGTTCTTCAAGTGGCCTGACAGGCCGGACAGACACAATTCTCTGCAAGTAAGTCCTGCTCTGCTGCCCTCAGAGCCACAGCCCAGAATCCCGAAGTAAGGACGCGGGCTGCCGTCTTGGAGGCAGGTGCCCGACTGCTCCCTGGTCCCACGCTGAGAGGGCGGCAAGACTGCCCATCGACAGCCGCACACATCACCTAGTCATTTAGTTTTGAATGATACGATTAACACACAGAAACAAAGCTCATTGCAAATGAGTAGAGTTAAAACAGCTTAAAAACTAAGCCAGGATCCATACTATATTCTAAAACAGACACAGCCAGGGGCGCCTGGGTGGCTCGGTTGAGTGTCTGACTTCAGCTCAGGTCATGATCTCATGGTCCATGGGTTCGAGCCCCACGTCGGGCTCTGTGCTGACTGCCAGCTCAGAGCCTGGAGCCTATTTCAGAGTCTGTGTCTCCCTCTCTCTTTGACCCTCCCCTGCTCACGCTGTCTCTCTCTCTCTCTCTCCTAGAAATAAATAAAACATTAAAAAAAATTTTAAAAAAAAAGAAATAAATAAAACATTTAAAATAAATGAATAAAATAAAACAGACACAGCCAAGGTGCACCTAAGTTATCCGGCCATTCTGCGGATTCTTCTTTCCACAACTAGAGCTATACCTCTTTTCCACAACACACCTGGCCTCTCTCACACCATTACTTTAACACCAAAGCTTTTCCCAAGTTAACTGTTCCATTTCTCACAACAGAAACAGTCTTTTCAAAAATGGTGTTGGGACAACTGAACACTCACGCACCAAGAATTGTGGACCCACATCACTCTCACACACACACACACACACACAGACATGAAGAGGGAACATACATCTGAACATCAGAGCTAAGAGTATAAAACCCCCGGAAGAAAATACAGAAGTAAATCTCTGCAAGCCTGGGCTGGTGAACTGTGTGTCGGATGCATCACCGAAGCACAGACAACACAAGGGAGCAGAGAGGAGCAGGGCCCAACATGAAAACTGCCGCACCCCAGAGGGCAGAAAGAGGAAGAAACACGAGCCAGAGAGCAAGACAAAATACTTCCAAATCACAGAATGACAAGGGACTTAAGTCCAGAACACACAGAGTTCTTCCAACCCAATAATTAAAAAACAGATAACCCAGTTAAAATAGTGAGTAAAGAATCTGAAAAACAGGTTTCCAAAGAAGACATACAAACGCCCAATAAGCATCGGACAGGATGGCCATAATAAAAGACAGGCGGTGACAAGTGTTGGTGAAGACGTGGAGAAACTGGGACATCACACACCGCTGGCGAGAACGTAAACTGGCGTAGCCAAGTAGAAAATGGTTGGCGGTTTATCAAAACGGAGTTACCACAGAATCCAGCAACTTTCCTCACAGAGAAATAAGAAATAAGAAAAACTTGCCGACGCCGCAGCAGCAGCATTTACAGCTGCCTGATGTGGAAACGACTGACGTGTCCATCTGCTACTGGCTGCTGACCGTGGCGTACGCTCAGAGAGGAGCATCACTTGGCAACGAAAAGAAGCAAAGCACAGCCAGGGCCACGTCGCCACGAGCTGAGGCGCCGGGACCAGGACGCCGGGGAAGCCCCTGGGACACAAGCCCACACGCTGCAGACGTCCCGACGCCTGCTCCTCAGGGGTAAATCCAAAGAGAGGGAAAGCAGGCCTGGGGGGGGAGGGCTGGGGTGGGGGGTCAGGGGCAAGAATGCGAAGACGGCTACCATTCAGAGTTTCTCTCAAGAATGTTAAGACTGTTCCAGAAGCAGATTGTGGTAATGGTTTCACGACTCTGTGAACGTACCAAAAACCACGGGACTGTATACTTTAAATGGATAAACTTCATGTTATGTGAGGTCCATCCCAATAAGCTATAAAATTTTTGTTTGAAAATTATCTCAAACAAATAATTCAGTGTACAAATGTCCCCATGTAAACAAAGGTACAAACTCCACTCTAAACCTCATCTTTTAAACAGGCTTTGAAGTTATTACAAACACTCATTTAGCTTTTCAGTGCTTTCCTTCACTGTTCTTCATTGATGCAATCACTGTCATGGTGTCACTGTCACTTTTCGACTGATGCCCACACTCTTCTCAATACATCGCTTCTTTCCACTGGGACTGAGAGACCAAAGAAACAAACTCTTTAAAAACATAAATTAAGCAGGGGTTAAAGGGTTAAAGCCCTAAACGAAGTTAAGGAGAAATGGGCATAAAGTAGTCAACGTTTTGGATCATGACATTAACTGTTGGTGCTCCAAGTCCTTGCACTGAAATAGTTTAAGGCCGTGGTACCAAATGTCTAACCTCACAACTGTGCTGCAAACAGACACAAAGACTGCAGGTAAGGTGACACAGGGCTTCACAGAGTCCTATACCGGCTGGGTTTCGCGTGTGTCTATGTGCATGTGCATTACATACAAACTGTCCCAGAGCGTGCTACCCAATCACTTCTCTCTGTGCGTGTGTGCGCACAGGCGTTGAAGCGTGTATACATTTATACTTATACACACACCCCAAGCCTTTGGAGAGTGAATAAAAATCTACCTTGAACTTGAAGGCATTATGTTATCATAAGATTAGATACCATATGTAATCACATAATATGGTTTTCAATAACAGAATTATGGCATGTTTTCTTTCTTTTATGTTAACTCTGAAGTGATGACTACATTAATCAAATGATAAACAAAATCAAAATGTCTTGCTAACCTCTTACGGTGAGCTTGCTGTAGAGCTGTGAATTCACTTCCTTGTCCCGCTGAAAACGCCGGAATTCATCAATGGCTTCCCTCATGATAGTAACAGCCAAAACAAATCCCTGGAGACAAAATAAAATATTTGAGAAAACTAGACTTAAAGTAACAAAAGGGTTTACTCCCTTCCCCAATTTGTGTTACTTCTAAAGCCTAAATGAAAACACAGACAAAAAGTAACAATGAAACACTAAGACTATGATACATAGTGTAAGACTCACAATTCTCACTATTAACCAAAAATTTTTTTGAAATTCGTATCATAACATGTACCTCAAGCCAAACATCAAAAATGACTTAGTAACCTAAAAATAAAGAAACCAACAATCTTCAAACGCCCCACAAATTATATTTAGAACACTCAAGCATTCAAGTATCAAATGAACAAAGACTGACATCAAAATCATAGACTCTCTGCACCTCTGTCTGTGGTGGAAGGGGGCGCGCAGGAACACGAAGCTGCCCAGCACGACACGACAGTCTCCCCGCGGCAGGGTCTGCAGGCGCCCTTGGGGCACATGCACGGCCACCGTGCTTTTCTTCCTCACTTCTTTTTAAATATTTTTATTTAAAAATTTTTTTTTAATTTTGAGAGACAAAGGAGAGAGAAAGAGACGGTATGAGCAGGAGAGGGGCAGAGAGAAGGAGAGAGAGGATCTCAAGAAGACTCCACACTACCCCTGAAGAGCCTGATGTGAGGCTCAAACCCACAAACCGTGAGATTGTGGCCTCAGTGGAAATCAAGAGTTGGACACTTAACAGGCTGAGCCACCCAGGTGACCCTCTTCCTCACTATTTTTTTTTATGTTTTTTATTTATATCTGAGAGGGGGGGATAGCATGAGCAGGGGACGGTCAGAGAGAGAGGGAGACACAGAATCTGACACAGGCTCCAGGCTTTGAGCTGTCAGCACAGAGCCTGACGCGGGACTCGAACCCACCAACTGTGAGATCATGACCCGAGCCGAAGTCAGACGCCTAACTGACTGAGCCACCCAGGCGCCCCCTCTTCCTCACTTTTTAAATAAAAACCTGGACCGATTAACTTGATGCTCTCTAAATAAAACTTCTTTTTTCAAAGTTTATGTATTTATTTTGAGAGAAACAGAGAGCGTGTGAATGGGAGAGGTGCAGAGAGAAGGAGAATCTCAAGCAGGCTCTGAGCTGTCAGCGCAGAGCCCAACATAGGGCTCCAACTCACAAAATGTGAGGTCACAACCTGAGCTGAAGTCAAGAGCCAGACACTTAACCAAATGAGCCACCAGACGCCCCCAAGAAAACGTATGTAACCTGTTGTGAATCTGTCACACCACGAACACGCGAACACGCGGCTGGAGCCACTTTCAAAGGCTCTGTGGGTGTTTTCTGACGCATGACATGGCTACTCTTCAGGTCCAGCTGTCTGACCACACTCTCCAGGAGGCTTCGCTGCACTGAGGAGTGTGCCCCGGGCTGTGCAGGCTTCGCTGCACTGAGGAATGTGCACTGAGGAGTGTGCCCCGGGCTGCCATGGCCATGGGGCAAGGCCGGGCAACTCCACTTACAGGGCAGTAACCTGTTATCCCAGGGCTGCTTCTGCATTGCCAACAGGCTACACCGTGTGGGCCCCTGGAAGCCGTGTTTGCTGAAACAGCCACCCTGGGGCACTCAGGCTTGTGCCACCACCGCCGCCACCACCCAACTTTCATCACCCCAAGAGAAAGCTCGCCCCTATCTCCCCCTGCTCCCAGCCCTCACAACTGCTGGTGCAACTCTGTCTCTACAAATCTGCCCTTGTGGGCGATACAGTGTGTTTAGCATGTTCACGAACTGCCGAGCCGCTTTCCAAAGTGGTTACCCACTTAATGCACTTACTGGCCATATGCATGTTTTCTTGGGATAAATGTTATTCAGATCCTACACCCACTCTTTAACAGGGGCATTTGTCTTTACTCTGGGAAGTTGTACGAGCTTTTCATGCTATTCTGGATAGAAATACCTAATTAGAGATGTGATTTCTAAGTGTGAGTGACACTTTCCACGTTATCATTTTACTTTCTTGGTGGTGTCCTCTGATGCAGTCAAGTTTTTAATTTTCACGAAATCCAATTTAAGTTGTTTCTGTGGTCACCTGGGCTTTTGGTGTCCAAGGTCACAAAACTCCACCTCTATGTTTTCCTTCAGGAGTCTTACTGGTTTTACCTCTTCCATTTAGGTTTATACCCCATTCTGACGTTCTGAGTTACTTTCTGTGTGTGACGGGAGGTGGGGTCCGAATTCATTCTTCTGTATGTGGCTGTCCCGCTGTCTCAGCACTATTTGTTGAAAAGACTGCTCTTTCTCCACTGAACTGCCAAAAAACAAGTTGTCCTCGGTGTGAAGGTCTATTCCTGGACTCTAATGTAGCCCTCGGTCCATCCTTCAGCCAGCCCCACACCTTGATTACTGTAGCTTCACAATCAGCTTCGAAATGGGAGGCAGGAGTCCTCCAATGCTGATCTACTTTCTAGATCGCACTGCTACTCTGTGTTTCTTGTATTTCCGTATGAATTTTAAGATCGGCTTGTCAATTTCTGCCCAAAAAGCCAAGTAGGATCCTCACAGGGATTGTACCAAACCTACAGATCAATCTGGAGAGGACTGTCATTGTAACAGTATTAAGTCTTTCAATTCTTGAACATAGGATGACTTCTATTTATTTACATCTTTAATTTCTTCAAAAATGTTTTAAGTTTTCAGTATGACATCCTGCACTTTAGCCAAGTCCACTATTTTTCCTTTCTGATGTTGTTATAAATGAAATTGTTAACTTGATTTCATTTTCAGATCGTCACTGCTAGTATATAAAAATACAAGCGGTTTTGCGTATCTATCCTGCACCCCATCTTGCACCCCATCCTGTACCCCATAACCTCACTAACTCCACCATTTCTGTGTGTGGACTCCTCAGATTTCCCACACACAAGATTGTGCCACCTGTCAACAGAGACAGCTTTTCTCTTTCTTTTCCATCTAGATGTCTTTTTAGCACACATAAAACAAAGAAAATAATACGAACATCCAAAACAGGAAATACCAAAAATACTTTAAATAAATTCAGTGTTATCAAAAGTCTTAAAATTTATACACACTTTAAACTAACAGTTACACTTCTGGAAATTTATCTAAGAAACAAACAACAACAACAAAAAAAAAAAAAACAAAAAAACAAGGATCCTGGCATCAAATATAAAAAACATTGGAAATAACCTGAATGTCCACAAAAAAACTCCGGGTACACCCGTAGGATAAAATACTGTATTTCCATAATTCAAAGATGTTGTTAGTCTTGGGTGAGAAGACAATACCACTTTAAATACATAACCTCTAAGTCACAACTCAGTATCAGTGACATGAAAAATACACATCTACCCGTCCAGGAAAGACTGTTCTGTGAGCTGTTCTCATGTAGACTCATGTTCACAAAGTAGAATGTTTAAAATTCAGTTTGTGACTGACTTACCCTGAGAGGTAAGAGGAGAATGGATATCAAGTGCACGTTACTTACACACTGAAGACGTACTGTCAAAGGAGTGCTTTCTGATCAAGCGAGCGCGTTCAATCACCGAGACGGCGGTTTGCACCAGCCATCTGCGCAAGTGCCGCCGGAAAAGGGACCTTCGCCTCTCCTCTGTAAGGAGGAAGTCCCCAATGTGTGTGCGTTAGCTACACTCTCCAGGTCAATCTAACTTTCACCCTTTAAACCTACGGCTTAACGATAGCAAAAGTTAATTCTCCATTCATCAGAGAACTTAAAACCACAAAGCGTAACCGTTCCCAGCACTTCTGAGAACTCATGAGGTAAAGTCGGCAGTAATGCGAGGGAAGATGCAGCAAGGAGGGTCAGGTCCCAGCTCGTGACACGGGAGGCAAGCGCTCGGAGGAGACAGAGCCCCGGCCGTGGGCAAGGACTGCCGGTGCACACAAGCAGCTCTAGGCTGCGTGTCAAAGCAAAGGGTTCCCCGAACACATGACACACGTGGAGGCCACTCCCATGCCACACGTCCCTCTCCGGCCTGGCTATCTTGAGAAAAACCCCAACAGCATCCTCGGAACCTAAAGCAGATTCCAAAAAAGGCACAGCAGAGGCCAGGATTTCCTTCTTAGCCACTGGAGTCTACACCACACAGACCTCCACCCAGAGAGTTTAGATCTGCAGAGTCCTCACTGGGTCATCAAGTGACCAGTGGTCTGTGGAAGATGAGGATAAGGTCTTCCCACAGCGGGGGCTGGGCCTGCCCGTGACCTCACTACCGGCCACGTCTGAGACTGACTCTCCAGCACTGCCAGCTAGGAAACCACAAGTGAGCACAAGAGGGGGACAGTATTTCAGTGAAACAACAGCATCTGAGCACCAGCCGGGTAATCAGGGTGGAGGACAGGAATCTCTCACGCGGTTGGTCCACAAGCCGTGACTAAACCTTGTTGCACCAAGTGGACTTTTTTCCTACTTCTCCAGATTACCCAGGAGTCATGTGAAGTAACTGCCAAAAGAATATGCATTTTTATAAAAAGAAAAAAATTCTATTGCTACAAATACCAGCTTAAACTTGAAGAATTATTATATACCAGAAGCTATTTTTTTTTAAGTTTACTTATTTACTTTGAGAGACAGAGCGAGAGTGCAGGCATGAGCGGGGAGGGGCAGAAAGAAGGAGTGGTTGGGGTGGCAGAGAGAGAGAGAGAGAGAATATCCCAAGCAGGCTCCACACTGTCAGCACAGAGCTTGATGTGGGGCTCGAATCCCTGAACCATGAGATCGTGACCTGTTCTGAAATCAAGAGTCAGACACTTAAACTGGCTGAGCCACCCAGGGGCCTCCAGAAACTTTTCTAGGTCTTTTTTAAAATTTGTTTATTTATTTTTAAGAGAGCACGAGTGGGCGAAGGACAGAGAGAGAGGAAAGACAGAATTGGAAGCAGGCTCCAGGCTCTGAGAACTGTCACCAAAGAGTCCAACACGGGGCTCAAACCCATGAACCGTGAGATCATGACCTGAGCCGAAGTCGGTCAGCCCAACCAACTGCACCACCCAGGCATCCCCAAACTTTTCTATGCTTTTTATGCGAGTCACCATTTAAATGTCACAAAAACCTAATGAGCTCTAATTCACAGACAAGGAAACTGAGGCACCAGGAGCACAAGTACTTTTGCAAGAGTGGTTTTCTCTGGACAGTACGAGGTTTGAGTCCAAGTGAGTGATCTTCTTTCTCCCGTCCGTCTCCGCCCACACGGCCAAAGTACAGAGACACCCAGAAGAGTGGACAGAAGGAAGGACTGGAGAATCATCCTGAAAAATCAGTCTTTTGCAGACGGACTTGCCATCTAACAGTCCAGCTGGCTCTCAGCGATGTGTTACCCAAATGCCAGGACCACGTCTTCCATGGAAGAGGTAGCGACAAGAATCCAGTCTTCCTCTGGGAATCATCTGTGTGGGCAGATCTGCTGCTCCAGGTGCATCCCGACAGCAACGTCGCGGCCTGTCTGGTGCTCTGGTCCCGCCAGCTTTCCCTCAAATACCCGTTCCGAAAGCTGAACGATATGGAAGGCAGTCCTCACTCTGACACGAGAACGTAATGATGAAACCACTTAGCTTCAGCTTCCTCTTCTGTTATACATATTACAGAAATGAGATCAGAGCTGAAGCCAGCGAACAGTTTTGCCAAGAATACTGACAAAGCACAATTATTAAGCTACCACTGTTTTCAGAAACACCCATCAGCTGGGGGAAGGCGTCCAAAGTTCCCTGTTGAAAACTAGCGGACGTGACACAAGAGTCCTTCTAACCACCAGCTAAACGACGGTTTTATGCTGCACTGGCAGGTTTTTGTCAAGGAAGGATCTGGAATGCTGATCCCTTTTCCTGAGCAACCACTCAGAGCCTCAGAAGGCAGGTAGAGAAAAGACACAGAACGTTAATACGTATAAAGGCCACATGCTGGCACAGGCCCCGCACAGGACGGGGGTAAACAGGCTGCTCGAGAAAGAGCAAGAACTCAGGAGCTGTGAAGAAACCCTGACAAATACATCCTCTCCTTAAAAAAACCCCACACAATACGTAGTTTAGATATACATGTATTCTAAATTTTGCCTAGATTAATAAAAAAGATCTTTTCCATATAGTATGTGAATTTTCAGTTTCAAAAAACATTTTCTGAGGTGAGTTTGGATCAAAGAACCAACATACCTAAGCCTGCTTCTGGCATTTAAAGGTGAGCCTAACACACACATCAACTTTTTAAGATTTTTGCTAAATAATGGGGTGCCTGGGTGGCTCAGTTGGTTAAGGGGCCAACTTCACTTCAGGTCATGATCTCAAGGTTCATGAGTTCGAGCCCCGCGTCAGGCTCTGTGCTGACAGCTCAGAGCCTGGAGCTGCTTCAGATTCCATGTCTCCCTCTCTCTCTCTGTCCCTCCCCTGCTCACGCTCTATCTCTCAAAAATAAAATAAAACGTTAAAAAAACTTTTTTAAAGATTTTTGCTAAATCAGAGGTTAAAGTGTATGTCAACAGTGCAAGCACAGACACAAACAAGTCTTTACTGATTATGTGATAAACGGCACCGACTGTGGCTGCTGCCAGAGCAAAGCAGCACAGAGCATGGTTTCCTGAGCGGCCGGCTGGAGGTTCACTGGAGAGGGCGAGGGTCGGGGGGCTGGAGGCAGGGAGCCGGGGGGGCCGGGGGACCAGGGGGCCTGGGGTTAGGGGGTTGGGGGGGCTGGGGAGCACAGGGTCTGGGGGACAGCAGGGCGGGGGGCCAGGAGACAGGGGGGCAGGGGCGGGGGGACTAGGGGGCCGGGGAGCCAGGGGGCTGGGGGGCCAAGGACAGCAGGGCCGGGGGGCAGGGGGCTGGGGAACCAGGGGCAGGGGAACCAGGGGCAGGGGAGCCAGGGGGCCACGGGGCAGGGGGACCTGGGGAACAGGGAGCAGGAGGGCCAGGAAGCAAGGGGTCCGGGTGGCTGGAGGTCCACTGGCAGGGCTGGGGGGCCGGGGGCAGGGGGCCAGGGGGCACAGAGGAAGGGAGCTGGCGGGCAGGGGGGCTGGGGTGCATCCCGAGGAAACATGAAGTGCTACTCAAATGGGAGAAATGGGCTTTTCGCTTTCCCCTGGGGCCCCTGAGCGTCGGCTCCGTGCCCCTTACAGGAGGACCAAGCCAGGTGCTTACTGGGCACCTCCCTGCACACAGCGGAGTGAAATCCCAGGTGCCAACAACGTGGAGGATGCACTCCCAACTCCCGCGGCTGACAGGCAGTTCAAGTGGGTGCACGCAGACCCCACATGGGCACAGAAAGGAGCAGTTCTGACCAACAGGCAGCTCTGTGAACACTTAAAATCCTCATTAGGAATCCATCTAAAGCAGTCATTTTCTTTGGTTAAAAGCTACTTAAATCACAGTTAAGAGGAAAAGATGCAAAAGCAAAACAGAACGAAGGCGCTGACGTTAGTTTAGGAAGGTCCTGTGTCCTCCGACGATCACTGCCGACAGACGCTTCAAGTGGAGCTGGCGGTGACGCTGGAGGGGCGGGGCGCCCTGCAAGGCCACGGGTGGGAAGAGGGGCTGGAATTACACACCCAAGATCGTTAAGTACACTCCATGTTCGCGTTCACTAGAAAACAGGGACACCAAGCAGCACTTAGCCAACCGAGGCTCCCGGGATGCGCAGGGAATAACGTACAATCAGCCTGATGGTCACAGCCAAGTCTGTAACTGGGAAAATCAGGAGAAAACTAGAGGTCTCCTTTCCGGGGAAGAGGGACAAGTCGGCCGTGAGCACTCACTCAATGGAGCACTCCGGAGAAGTGAAGCTGAGTGAGCCAGCCATGGAGGTGTCATCAGGGATCTGTTTTACAAAACAACGTTATGTCAAAAGCACAGGTTGCAAAAGGGCACCCAGAGTAAGATAACCTATAGACAAGCTTTTCACAGCACGCAAACAATACGGCATCTGATTTCCGGGAGACACATGTAAGTAGTAAAATTCTCAGGGGAGACGCAACAACTGAATCTCAGACGCAGAACAGAAGTCGCCTGCAGGGAAGGAAGGTGAGCAGGGGAAGAGACAAGCAAGCCCCTCGGCCCTCTCGCCACAGCCACGGGGCTTGAACACCAGCTCTGAGCAGTGGGCTCCAGCTTCAGTGCCGTCCACGTGCCAGGCCGCCCACACAGACGCAGGGCTCCCTCTTCCGCTCAGGAGCAAGTCCGAGCACCCCAACCTCCCTTGTAAGCACCGTCCCCACGTCCCCACACTCCAGAGGCACCCCCAGTGTCTTGGCCTGAGAGTTTCCGCAACCACGGCTCCCCCTGCCTCCGCCTCTTTTGTCCTAGGTCAGTGCACGGCCCAGGCTCTCAGCCACCTGGATGCCACCCCAATGCCACCCCTCACAGGGGCTTTCCTTATGAAACCCCGCTGCTTGCACGAGTACAACGCACTCACAGACTCGGAGACTGTGCACTCTGACTACAAACATGGTCACCGTGGCTGCTCAAACCCATGCTCCTCTGACGTCTGTGTGGCAGCAGGAGGGGCTGGCCCCAGCAGCCCCGCCAACGAGACTTCCGTCCCCTCTGCCAGCCCGCCCTGGCACAACCAGACCAGCCGAGCGAAGCCCCGAGTCAAAAACCCGAGAGCACGCTGCTCACACCCCCAGGTCCGAAGGTGGCACTTGGGCCCCCAGGTACGCATGTGAGCAGCGGGCTGCTCCTTCCCTAAAGGAGGGATTTCACTATGCTGTCTCAACTGGATTATGCTGATAATCTGCCCAAGAGGGAGCAAACAAAAGGAAGCAGTCCATCTTTCTAGGTGGAAGAAGAAAGAAGGCATACGTTTTTTTTATATAAGCTGAAAACTGATGAAAATTATTGGCAAACAGTATCAAACTATCAAACAGCATTATGATGGAAATGGAACTATTCGATGGTAAATATCACTTGCCTTTCAAAACCATTTGTGCACTGAAGGGTCAAGCAGAAATGGTCTGGACTTCACTGAGATACTTCAGCCAAAAGTAAGAAATGCCCGTCTGTTCAGGACAAGAAGGTCGCAGAGGGGATCGCACCCTCGCTCCCCACATTGCCATCAGCCATCAGCATGGTGGGGGGAAGCAGGGGTGTAGGGCAGGCCAAGAGAAAGACCTGTTATCGTAGCCTAAGTCAGAACGTGCCATGGAAACCACCCGGCACCCCCAGTGGCAGAGGCGCCTGTGCCATGCAACACCCGGACACTCCTGCGGGCGCCCCCGGGGCAGGGCAGCACCCAGACCCTCCTGCGGGCCGCCCAGCATTTACAGACCTAGCTCCATAAATCGTTCAACAAAAGTTCAGAGTAACACAGCAACAATACCACACTGCTTAAAATCTGATTTTTCTCTCTCAACCATCTCCACTCTTAAAACTATATTCTAAATAATCATTTAACTTAATTTCAAAAGTCTTAATTCTTTTACCAGAGGAGCCCAGTACGTGTAGAGATAGCCGATTTTCAACGCTGGCACAAACTGGGAGCAGGACACTACCAGAAAATAGAGATTCAAGAAAAACTTGAATTGTTCGTACAAAACCTAAAAAGGAAAAGAAAAAATTAACACAGTCTCTCCAAGATAGATCTTTAATACTTCAGTCAGATAATTAAATTAGCACAATATCTAACCACATCCCCATCAAGCATGGAGGATATGCCCGAGTCACAGTAAATTTCTTGATTCTGGCACTGGCTTTCCAATAACCAAATCACATACTGAGTGAGGTAAGGTTCCCTCAAAATTCTACCTAAAATAAACTGAAGAGAAGACAATTAGGGAACTTTCAACCATGTTAAAAGCATCCTCTAAAAGTTTTGATTTTCCAGTTTTCCAACAGTGACCTATAAATCTTTACATATACATCAAAGCAAATGAGATAGCAAATCCTTCCCAATGCTGGTAGTCAATAAATATATGTTTACATACACACAAATGTGTATCTTGAGAAGTCAGAAAATCTTAGAATGGGAAAGTCGGGTTAACCTTGTATTTATGCAGCAGTAAGAGATAAAACACGACAGCCACGTTTCGGAACACGAACATCATGGCAGATATACAAACACTGAGTTAACCAGCAAAGCGCACCCCATGTGACTTCACAAAAACCGCCTCCACCTCCCATAAATATCTGCTTCTCTCAGGCGATAAGAAACGATGACATATAAAAGAATGTAAACTGCAAATCAATTTTCAGGAAGATAGCTACCTACGTATATTTTACAGTCTCTTAGTTAGTAGCTGACCTGCAACAATAGCTTCAAATATAAAATAACCATCATTTGACAAAATTTTAGGAATACAAATCCTGTAGCTTTCTGCTTTTGTTTTTTCATTCAAATAGAGTTATCTTTAAGGAAGAAAACCCAAGATCCAGTATATTAATGGACTTCTATTTACAAATCCTCAAACTACTAAACTTAAATTGAAAATGAAAATAGAACAAACCTCATGTTTACAGATGAGAATAACTCAAACAGCAACTATAACTGCAATTAAACTTACAACCTTGCAACTTCCAATCAAAATCTCCTTGGATGCCGTTTTTTATGCAACTCGGAAGGTAGGAAAATTTCAACCAGAGCAGAGCAATGGGTTAAGTACTTACTGTTGACTTAAAGAGTCTGGAAGCACACTTTTCATGTAATGGAGTTTTCTACATCATCAGACGCTTGTGCAACTAAAGCATCGGCTACACTGATAACATGTTTATATTCATAATCATATTCAATTGCTGTCTAAAAATGTTTTGAGTCATTTCATAAATTAATCTCAGCAGGGGAGAAAGCTCTTTTTCCTCAGTGATTTCTTTAAAATCTCAGTTAGCATAAATTATATCTATTAGCAATTCAAAAATTGCCATTTGTGCTAAAAATGGCATAGAATTCCTACTGTGCAATTACCAAATGTTTCTAAAATACTACGTTTTAGATGAAAAGCCTAATTTAAGAGACAATCTAAGAAAAAAATTCACATGTTAATACTTGTACAGACACACCAACAGGTATTTTCAGGACACAGCCGCCCTGGCTGGCCGTGCGGGCTCACTCTGGTCACAAGTAAGCTGCACTGTTGGCTGGGAGCCACTGTAATCAATACTTCCTCGTCTCCTGGATGAACTCTGTGACCTTTAGGAAAATGTACAATGCTTAGCCAATCTGCGAGTACTTAATAATTTAAACCTAAGAAGAAAACAGCAGCTTCATTCAATTCAGACGAGAATATTTATCTGCCTGAAAGACAGTTTACATCTTACCGTCTGACAAAAGAGCAGGCTTTCAGTTACGGAGCCAATGGCTTTGTGTGTTTTAATAAAGAGCAAATCAGGGATCGAACATTCACCAACTATCAACAGATGGGGAAGGGGGGAATCAATGTCTGATCTAAAATCAGCATGATTACTTCAATAAAGACATGAAAAATAAACAGCTCTTATTTCACATAACGAAGAGACTTTCTTGTAAAATAGCATAAAGCTAATAACTAGAACATGTCAAAAACTTTGATATGGAAATATAGTCAGTTCCAGCTGCCTTTTGCCTTTAGAAAGATGAATAAATTGGTCTATTATATTAAAATAGGAAATGATGCACAAAAAGCAAAAATTATCAAAACAAAAATTATTCAATTATTCAATCGTGATTCAAATTATTTAAGACAGGAAGATCACCAACAAAAAAAAATTAATGAAATACTTAAACCTCAATATTTAAACTTAGTGCTAATACCTAATTAAAGCTAACTAATAATACAATTCTATAACATGGTGTGAAATTTATAACATGAAGTGGAAAATTCATCTACAAATGCTTACAGAGATTTTATCATGGAGTCACAATTGTTTAAAAAATTACGTGACTTTCATTTTGAGGCTCCTATGCACGCTTTACACTGGCATTCAGCTTCACCTCCAGACAGAACTTACAGCTTTCTTTCTGGTAATTTAATCTATGCATCCTTGGTTATTTCTCCAATAACATAAGTATGTTTATCTAGGACTGAAGTCAAACTGTTAAGTCTTAAGGTGAGCTCTACGCTGTGCCCATTAAGAGTGTGCGGTGAATTATATATCAATTATCTGAAATACAAATGGTTCAAAAGCAAAAGGACACAGATTTGGATGTGACACGATTAACAAGGGGAAAAAAAACATGGAAACAAAAGAAGCTGGCAAGGTCTCATATGAAACCCACTGTTAAGAATGTAACAGTTTTGGGGTGCCTGGGTGGCTCAGTCAGTTAAACGTCTGACTTCGGCTCAGGTCATGATCTTGCAGTTTGTGGGTTCGAGCCCTGCATCAGGCTCTGTGCTGACAGCCAGCTCAGAGCCCGGAGCCTGTCATCAGATTCTGTATCTCCCTCTCTCTCTGACCCTCCCCTGCTCAAGTTGTCTCTCTCTCTCTCTCAAAAATAATAAATAAAAAACATTAAAAATTTTTAAAAAAGAATGTGACAGTCTTACCCCAGGTATAAAGGTAAAGATATTGTATTTTTGATTTTTGATAGAATTTCGGGGATGCTTCTCTTCACACTTTTCGGGACATCCAAGCCACACTGTGCGAGCTTTTAGTTCTCTCTTTCTTCGACAGATATTTATCAGCCAATCACAGCAACTGCATGAAAAAAAGATACACATTATGAATGCCTTTTTTTAAAGATTTTAAACAAACCGTATACATTTAGAGCCAGTACAAGCTGCTTCTGTAACACACAGACACGGACAGCACGTGTAATGTGAACCCACAGGGTTGTCTTAAAGTAGGTTGTACAGAGAGAAATTTAACATAAACCACTGAGACTTGTACAAGCGAGTACATAATGACTTTTGGAACCTAAAGGAAAGTGTCTTCCCTGTTTAGATCCTCTTACTGGCAAAAATAAATAAATTAATTGAAAATAAAAATAAAAAACCATTCTGAAGTAGCCAATGCTTTTCTAGGCTGAGAAAAAGATAGTCATGTTGTTCATAATTCTCAACATACCACTCAGGAATTACATGAAAAAGGCCCTCGCACAAGTGCGTTCAAGTGTGCGCACTGGGCTCCGCACACCCGTGGGGGCACCCGTGTGAGGGCACAGGTGTGTACACGGGGCTGCATACACCCGTGTGCGCACAGTTGTGCACACAAACTGAAATCAGTGCATCTGTGTGGACCATCTGCAGACCATCTGCCGACCTCCCAGCTGTGCTCAGGAAATCTCCAGTCTGGAAGGACAGGGCTTTGCCCTTGGAAACCCCAGGTCCTCCAGTGGCAGACATCCACTCGGGGGCCGGGCTACAGGACCAGGGGCGCTGTCCCGAATGGGAATGAATGCCGGCGGCACACCGAGCAGGTTGGCTCCGACACACCCTCAGCACCTCTCCCGCCTCAGCTTTGCAGAACAGACAGCATCTCCACACATCAAGTGCACTTACATCCCTGATTGTGAATCGGGATATGAAAGTGATTTAAGATTGCCAAAATAAGTATTCCCACCTTTGCTGCTTTCTTTGGGGTGGGGGGTGTCAAGTAGATTTCAGTCAACTGTTAGGGATTTGTGAGGTGTTCATGCTTGAATGAAACAAAAATTAAACAAGACTTCAATAAAATCCAATAAACATCAAACTCCCATTTCTCACCTTACGGTTGCTTCTACCATGCGGCCTGGGCATCCTCACAAGGGCTCTTGCCCTTTAGCATGACACACCCTGCCACACCCCTGCCGTCTGCCCCGACCCCCACCAGGACCCCAGCCGGCCCAGGGGGCAGGGCGCTGCCACCCTAGTTCCCCCTGGCGGCAGCTCTAAATTGCCCACCTCTCACCTAGCCGCACACGACCTGTGCTCCGGGGGCACGAAACCCTCAGTTACAAGCCGGGAGGGGCTCTTCTCCAAGCTCTGGGTTCAATCAGTCTGACACCCGCACTATATTCTGGAGCTGTCAGACCCCCCACATCTCCCACAGGAGGAAACTGGAAGCCAGAAAAGTCAACAATTTCTCTAAGACGAAACAACTAGTTAGCGGCAGAGTGACACAGCTTCCCCGAGTCACACTCAGAATGTCTCCAATCTTAACAACACTACATCTGGCACAGAAGTGGGCATTTCTGTACTGCCCAACAGAGCATCCACTGGCCACATGTGACTATTTTTTAAGTTTGTTTATTTCAGAGTGACAGTGAGAGAGAGAAAGAGAGCAAAAGACAGAGAAAAAGTGCAAACATGAGCAGGGGAGGGGCACGGAAACAGAGAATCCCAAACAGGCTCCCTGATGTCAGCATGGAGCCCGACGCGGGGCTCAATCTCACAACCCGCGAGACCACCACCTGAGCTGCTGTCAAGAGTCGGATACTCAACTGACTGAGCCACCCAGGTGCCCCTCACGTGTGACTATTTCAGTATGAATTAAAATGAAGTGAAATAAAAAGTCCAGTTCCTCAGTTACATTAGCCACATTTCAAGGGTTCAACAGCTACCGTGGCCAGTGGCTACTATACTGGACATCACAGATCTAGCACATTCCCATCATCACACAGAGGGTTGGTGAGTGGGGCTGGTCCACAGGCAACATGGAGCAGGCAGGGACAGCAGATAGCATACAAGCTTCCTCTCTGTGCACTTCCTTCAGTACTTCAGGTATGGGCGAATATCCTCCAGCAAAGTATTCAAAGAGAAATTTTTGTTCTGAAACACATAATTACCTAATATGACAGTTTAATGTACACAAGACACGCAAACCTAGCACAAAATTGAGAACAAGCAAAATTAAGTATTTGAAAAATGTATACAAAATTTAGGAAATGTGAATTTTACAAACTTTATGCTGGTATCAACATATTCTTGCACAGGCAGGAGGCTCTATTAGTGTAAAACCACTCTGTGCATCACTTGAACACTGTAGACAATGGCTAAAATAAAAACCTCAACGTCAACACCGTGTGTAGCACCTGAAACTAACAACCCACTAAGTTCCAAAGCCTTACACTCTACAAACTCTAAATTAAATACCAATGGCAAAAAACACATATACTCACCAGTTTATTAATGTTTCCCTATAACCCTGTATAGAAAAAAACAAGATTCCTGGACTTCCAAGATGTAATAATTACTTGCAATACTTAGATACTGATAACTATCAACAAGCAAAAGTTTTATTACTAATTATTTCCTTATGCAAACACAAAAGTGAGTAATAGATAGGGAGCCACATGCTATTTTACAGAATTAAATGAACACAAAGCCTTGAGGGTTTAAGAGCCTCGGGCTCCACCAGAACTGCCACTGCAGACAGAGGCAGAAACTATAAGCAGGAAAAGAAGACAGGTGACTTGAGTGCCAAGATGAAAGGACATAAACCCCAAAGATGAGGAACCCAGAAAGTACATGTAGGCATCATGGAGTTGTACGGCAAAGCAGGAAAATAAAATAAGGGGCAATTTCTGAATAAAACAGACTGGTAAATACTGAGAACAAGAGGGAGAACGGAAGGGAGGTCCTTGGGAGGAAACTACCAGGAGCTGCACCCGAAACACTTCTCTGCAGGCGAATACTTTCTGAGTGAGTGAGTGCTCAGGACACACTGCCCAGCTATACACAAATCGTGTTACACGGTCAAGTCAATAAGACTAAATCCAAGAGTGAAGATGGCGGAGCAGTGTCGAGACCTTCAGCTGGTCTCATCCCTGAAGTGCAGCCAGATCAGCACCAAACCATCCTACACTCCTAGGAAATTGATCTAGGGATTAACACAGCAATCTGCCTAACTTGAACCACAAAACTCAGCAGGTATGCAGAGCGGAGAGGTTAACTGGGGGAGAGAAAAGCCACGGAAGATAGGGAGCTGTTTTCATGGAGAGAGAGAGTGTAACAGAAAGGGAAAAAGTGAGGCGCATCAGGATCATGCAAGAAAACCACCCCCCCAAAAGTACTGGAGAGAAAGAGAGTGAAAACACTTGCAGGGGACTGAACAAGAAACGTGTTCCCCAAAACCATTTACGGGAAGAAAGAAGAGGATTTCGGTACCACCAGGATTCTATAAACAGTAGAACATAGTCTGAAGCTCTGGAGCCCAGTGCCTGGCGGTACTCTGGTGAGGAAGCAGGGCGAAGCCCCAGAAGCTGACAGCAGGGTCTGAGGGGTCCATGTGCCACATGGGGAGAAGTGGTTCCCCGGCGCAGAGTGCATTTGGTAGAAGCCATACAGCTTCTGAACAGGCAAAGGTCCCAGGGACCCCAGAGAGCAGCCACAGTCGCTGGTACCGGGACAGAGATGCCAGGGTGCAGGGAAAGCTGGTGGCGGCTGTGTGTTGTGACTTGCCATACTCTCTGAACCTCTGTGGCTGTGTGATCACATGGACATTTTCTGGGACGAGCCGGCACCTGGCCATTGCTCAGCAAGACCCTCCCCCAGAGAGCTGGCACAGGTCTCTGAAGTCTACAGGGTACTCTATCCGTGTAGTGACGGGGAATGGACACAGTCCTGAGACAAAAGGAGGGATGTGTGATCATGAACTGGTGAGAGTGCCATGTTCCTGTGCCAGAGACTAGGGAGCTGGGTGAAACCATTTCCACCTCTCCTGTGCACAGGCATGCACGCCACAATCATCCACCCCAGCAAGCTAAGCAGCGCCACCTACTGGAGAATGGAGCCGTTACACCAAGCCCTGCCCAACTGCGCCATCCAAGCACACCACCCAGAAGACCAGCACAAGTCCCTCCACCTGCTTAATGTATAGACTATAGAAGGCTTCAGAGTTCCGTCAAAGGGGAAACTGGATGTAACTTCATTCTGGTTTCATTCTGTTTGTTGGTTCATGTGTTTGTTTTCCTTGTTTTGTTGTTGCTTGAATTGTTTTCTTTTTCCTTTCTTTTAATTTTTCTCTTACTTCTTCCTTACTCTTGGATACAGAAAAAAAACATTTAATTTCATTATTTTTTAACTTTATATTTTACTTTTTAAATTTTTTACTCTATTTCATTTTCTTTACTTCATTTAATTGTTTTAGTATTAAACTTTTTCATGTTTTCTTACCTTTTTTTCTTTCTCTTTTATCTCTATTCTATCAAGTTTCTTTCAACAAGCAGACCAAAACACACCTAGGATCGAGCTTCCTTTATTTGAGTTTTTGCTTTGTTTTTAATTTTTTAATTTTAATTTTTTACTTATTTTCTTCCTCCATATTGACAAAATGACGAACAAAAGAAAGAAGAGGAAGACATGACAGCTAGAGGCTTAATCAACACAGATACAAGGATTTTAGAATTTAGAATCATGATAATAAGAATACCAACTGGGGTTGAAAAAAGTCTAGAAGCCCTTTCAGTGGAGATAAAAGAATTAAATCTAGTCAGGATGAAATTAAAAATGCTATAAGGGAGTTGCAATCTCAAACAGGTGCCATGACAGCAAGGATGGACAAAGCAAAGTAGTGAATCAGTGATTCAGAAGATAAATTTATGACGACCAATGAAGCAGGAAAAAAGAGGGAAACAAGGGCAAAGTACCATGATACAAAACTTAGCAAACTCTCAGTGACTTATTAAAAAGGAATAACATCCAAATCACAGGAGTCCCAGAAGAGAAAAGGCAGAAGGTTTATGGGAGCAAAATATAGAGGAACACTATCCTAATCTG